ATATAAACACTGCACCGGTCGCTAAAATATATATATTGAGTATAGAAGTGTTATTCTTTATTTTCTTGACTGTTGTCTTTTGTGTCATATAAACGTTCACCTGTTCTCCAATTAACTATTTATTTCACTTCCATTGCTTATGGATTGATGAAAAGGGATAAATGTTATCCCTAATTAAAAGTTGTATATATTGCATGTATTGTTAATTAATGTACATACACGATTGAAAAATCATGAAAAAATCAAACATGCATGTCAACAGTGATGGCGATCAATACTATATATACTGATTCAATCATGCAGCTTCTGTTATATTTTTGTGCTTTTCTTTCATGGTTTTTTATAGAATCATATAAGTGTACTACACCTTTCAGTGCATGAAAATAAGGATCATAATACAAATTACACTTTGTTATTGACTCCAAAGGTTAGACCTTTGGATGACCTGCATGTGTGAAAAACAATCTGCGTCTAAATCTGATGGCTTATAAAATACATGGTTTATCACAACTACAATACTTATACTAGGTTGCCACAGCCTATAGGCTAATACCTCAAAATCCGCTTGAGTACAATAGCCTGTTTGTCTGATCTTTTTGCATGCCATTGCCCATTGCTGGGTCCGACGGGTGCCACACAACTATAAACACGGCACTTTTTACTAAAATCTCGGTTGGTGGTCTTCAATCATTGCCACTTTTGATAAGATGTACAATACCGTCGTCGCGGCTTGATCATTGTCATTGACTTGGGCGTGCCCTTTATTAATCCTGCGGTTTTAAATTGATTTCGGTCACAGTAGTGTCGTCATCGTGATATGGGCGGATAAATGATAATCGTATGTACGTTATTGACTTTCAGCCGCAACGGAGCAAGGGAAAACGGGAATCTCTACTACACTCCCCCCCCTAGCTCCTCCCCGAGTTCTTGCAATCATTCATGTTTTTTTTAGCTTCTTAATTTCCTGTACAGGTTCAACTTGCTAATTTGTAAAATTGGTAACTACACTTTCAAAACACCTTACATTTTTCTGGTAAATCTAGAAATAACTCTATTTGGATCAACTTAATATTCCTGGTTATTTTTATGTCACTTCTTGCCATAGTCTGGTTAATGTAACCAGAAGCTGCATGGGATATAGTTGACGAGGACATCTTGGTTAAATTAACCAGACCATGTTAGGTCTGGTTAATTAATTTAACCAAGGGCGTACGGGAAGGAAAAAATTAGGCGGGGCGGAAGAAAATTTACCCAACTTTTCCCCATTGTGCCCGACTTATACTGAAACTAATGTCTTACTGAAATCTTGTATTTTCAAATACTACACTTCTTTTAAAAGTTATTTTCCCCAATTTTTGCCCGACTTACGTTTATAATTTGCCCGCCGTTCAGTTTGACTTGGGGGGGGGGGACTTGGTCAAATATAACCAGATTCCTGCATGGTTAAATCAACCATGTAGACAATGGTAGAAAGTGAGATAAAATAATTAGCAAATTTAACCAGGAATTTTGGAGCCTCGGCTATTGAGTAAAATATAATATTAAGTTAACCAGTAACATTTTAGCCAGGGTATTTTTTGGGTGTCCATAGCATATAATAATCTTTTAAACTATAAGGAACAATTTATATTAAACTTAAATATATGGGAAGAATATATTAATTCGGTTTGGCCCTTGAAGCCATGCAACACAAGTATTGATAACACAAATGTATACCAAACATATTACACAAAGAATCCTAGATACGACAAATCGACATTTACATTTTACATCCAGACATTGTACTTTCCAGATTCCGTCTTATTGTTATATTAAATCTTTAGTCACCGTTTTTCATATCTTTCATAATATATAATATTACATATTGTCTCTTTCACTCTTCAATAAATATATACATAATACAATATCAATAAGTTATGGTACAGTATAGTAGCCTGTTTCACAAACTTTAATATATTTTGATAACTCGGTGATATCTATGGAAACGAATTCAATCCGCACGAGCACGTGAAGAATCATGGGGCTGCTGTCCAATTAAGGGATTTCTAGGTTATTATATCCACCTTTGGTTCTTTGCTCTATAAACGGATAAAAGAAAGAAACCGTTTCAATCTTCAAAGCAAACGACTGATTTATTTAATAAGGCAGTTTATCTTGTAAGGAACTATTAGTTCTGTATAATCTGTCCCTTTTTTTTTGGGGGGGGGGCGAAGCGAACGCTGAAGGCGCGAGACCATCTAGGGGGGTTCGGGGGCATGCCCCCCACCCCAGGAAAATTTTGAAATCTAGAGTCCCTGAAATGCGATTTCAAGCATTTGGGGGGTGAAATCTTGCAGAATTCCGAAGATTATAAAGTACATTGAAGACATAAATTTTCCCAGACATTTCTAATTTTCTACTCGGAATTAAATAAATTGGAAAAGTCACCTTGAAAAACAGGAGGAGCCGGTCAGCGTCACCTTATTTCCCCTCTGTG